GGGGGGTGAGCTAAGGCCTTCCCGGGATGGTAGAAATCAAAGGGCCATTAAAAGACTTAATCACCCGGAAGAGGGGGCCCTGGAAGAAGGGTGCATTTGAACCTTGGAGAGGGTTCGAAACCATTCGACATGGTTAAATCTCCAGTATTCTTACCGGTTAAGGATACTTCAAGAATTTCTAGGTTACAGGTGCGTCCATCTACAACCTACCGATAAAAAAAAAAAAAAAAAAAGAATACCCCGGTCGGGTATGGGCACATCAGAACTTCGAAAGTTCTACATCCATCGAAGGGCAAGGCAGTTGACCGGTCAAACCATGGCGTGGGAATTCACCGGTCAAAGTAAATTTTGCCAAAAGAATTGGTGAAGTTATCCAAAAGGCAAAAGTAAATTTCGGCCGGTCAAATTTTTTAAGTTGGCAAAAATGATGAAGACGTTCGAAAAGCGAAAATTGAACTTTAACCGGTCAAAGTTACTTGAGCTAATCCTTCAGATGAAGTGATCAGGGAGAACTTTGGAGTTCTCCCGGTCAGAAACAAATGAGAAGTGGTCTGATTGGGCTACCGGTCAAGATTTATAAGAAGCAAAAGCAGAGTATAAATCAACAAGCAGGCAGATAGAAAAGATTCACCGGTAAAGAAGACAAACATGGCATTCAAAAGAATGTTAAAAGTTTTACAGTTACACCGGGCATTCCCGGGGAAATGAGTTTGAAGTTTTACAAAGAACAACCGGTCTAGGCCGGGGAGATCCTAATCTAAGGGGAAAGGGGGAGTAGGCTCTTCTTCTGGGATTGGAGCCAGGCCGTAGGATGCTGCGCTGAAGCTCGGGTCTCTTCTGAGCAGTACCCGGTGAGAGGCGATCCTATCCTTCTTTTGACCGCTCTTGAATCCGAAGGATCCAATCACGGTAATCATCTTCCTTCCTTCAGGCTCCCGGTAAAGAAGCCTGAAGGACTCCATCATGGTCTCGGGAGTCGCCGTCATCACCCGGGCAGCTTCAGCTTTGTTCTCTTCCACCCAGGCAGCTGCACGCCCGGGGAAGGTTTCTTCCTTCTCCGCCATCTCCCTCTTGGCTTCAAACACCTCGTCCATCAGCTGGCCATTCTCTTCCTTAAGGTGAGAGATCTCCGCCCTCATCGACCCGGTCAGCCCGGATAGCCTGGCCAACTCATCAGCTTGGCTCTTTAGGATGAGAGCCATCTCCTCCTTCTCTTTCTTCAGTCGGGCAAACTCCGAAGAAGAGCCCAAACCAAGCCGGTCAGCTGAAAGGGGTCCGATCTCCCCCGCCTGCGCGAAAGGAAAGATAGCCTGGTAAGATTCTCGTCAAGGGAAAAAGAAGATCAAAAGACCGGGGTAGCAACAGGACTTACCTCCTTCAGCCTAAGGCCCAGGTTGATGAAGGCCTCTTCAATAGACTGGCCGGCCGGCTCTGAGTCCCCTCTTTGCCTCTTCTTGGCGAAGGATGGGTGTGTGGTGGCCACCTTTTTTATCCGCCGGCCGGTTTTCTCCTTGCCCTTCCCTTTTGACCGGTCATCCTCCGGCTCGTCCAAATCGTGGATTTCCACGGTCTCTGGTTGGACCTTGAAGGTTTTCGCAGTACCGGCCTGAGAACCACCGGTCTCTCCCTCGGGCTGATCTTCGGGCATGGCGAATTCTTCGAACTCCATGTCTGCGAAAGTGGGCAAAACCATTAAGTACAAGCAATAGTTTGCCTGGTCAAACTACGAAACACAAGAAAAAGGATAAATACCTGGGTGGTTCTGGCCCTCGGCCTCTGCAGTGTTGCCCGGGGAGGGTACCCCGTGCCCCGCTGCTTCCTGGGCCTGGGAGGTACCCTCACCACCCGACTCTACCCTCCAAACCCAGCTGCCTTGATGGAAGATCCTCCCGGTTTGAGGATCCCCGC